CATGTGGTGTCTTATTCCAAAGCTCCATATTTTGATGCTTTCATTGCTCGAGGGATGGAGTTTTAAAAACAGGGAGGCTATGCTGCAGCTGTATAGGGTCCTGGTGAGGCCACACCTGGAGTACTGTGTGCAGTTTTGGTCTCCTTACTTGAGAAGAGATATACTAGCACTGGAGGGGGTGCAGAGGAGATTCACTTGGTTGATTCCAGAGTTGAGGGGGTTGGATTATGAGGAGAGACTGAGTAGACTGGGATTATACTCATTGGAATTCAGAAGAATGAGGGGAGATCTTATAGAAACATATAAAATCATGAAGGGAATAGATAAGGTGGAGGCAGGGAGGTTGTGTCCGCTAGCAGGTGAAACTAAGACTAGAGGGCATCGCCTCAAAATAAAGGGAAGCAGATGTAAGACTGAGGTCAGGAGGAACTTCTTCACCCAGAGGGTTGTGAATCTGTGGAATTCCCTGCCCAGTGAAGCGGTTGAAGCTACCTTGCTGAATGTTTTTAAGGGAAGGCTAGATAAATTTTTGAACAGTAAAGGAATTAAGGGTTATGGTGAGTGGGCGGGTAAGTGGAGCTGAGTCTCAAAGATCAGCCATCATCTTATTAAATGGCGGGGCAGGCTTGAGGGGCCGGATCGCCTACTCCTATTCCTAGTTCTTATGTTCTTGTGTTCCTCCCTCGTATGATTAAAAATCCAGCGTGCTGTAGACTTGGACATAATTCTTTACAAAAAAAAGCTCACTGTGACACCTCAGGCAGTGTCATAGAGTAATATAGCATGGAAACAGGTCCTTTGGCCCAAACTGGTCCATGCTGACCGTGGTGCCCACTCAGCTAGTTCCAATTGCCCGCATTTGGTCCATATCCCTCTAAACCTTTCCCATCCATGTACCTTTTGAAATTGTTTTTAAATCTTGTACCAGCCTCAACCACTTTCTCTGGCAGCCCACTCCATATCGCACCACTCTCCATGTGAAGAAGTTGCCCCTCAGGTCCTCCTCAAATCATTCCCCTCTCACCTTAAACCTATGCCCTCTAGTTTTCAATTCCCCATCCTACCCATGCCCCTCATGATTTTATACACCTCAATAAGGTCACCCCTCATTATCCTACATTCGAAGTATTAAAGTCCTGTCTTGGCCAACCTCTCCCTATAACTCAGACCTACTAGTCCTGGCAATATTCTTGTAAATCATCTTTGCACACTATCCAGTTTGACTATGTCTTTTCCGTAACAGTGTGACCAAAACTACACACAATATTCCAAGTACCTCACCAATGACTTATAACTGTGACATAATGTCCCAACACCAAGACTCAGTGTCTCGACTGATGAAGGCCAACATACCAAATGCCTTCTTCCCCACCCTGTCTACCTGTGACGCTGCTTTCAACAAACCATGTACTTGTACTCCTAGGTCCCTCTGTTCCACAACACTCCTCAGGATGTTACCATTTACTGTATGTCTTACCTTGCTTTGATTTTCCAGTTAGATGTATTAAATTGCATTTGCCAATCCTCAGCCCACTTTCCCATCTGATCAAGATCTCTCTAATTTTTGATAACCTTCCTTGCTATCAACAATACCCCCTAATTTTGTGTCATCCGCAAACTTAGTAATCATGCATTGTACATTCACATCCAGATCATTCACATCCAGATCATTTATGTAAATAACAAATAACAAAGGTTCCAGCACCAACCCCTGTGGCACACCACTGGTCACAGGCCTCGAGTCCGAGAAACAACCTTGAATCCATCACCTTCTGGTTCCTACCATCAAGTCAGTTTTGAATCCAATTAGCTAGCCCTCCCTGGATCCCCTGCGACCCAACCTTCAATACAAGCCTGCTGTGCGGGACTTTGTCAAAGGCCTTGCTAAAGTCCATCTAGACAACATCCTGCATACAAATCCATGCTGACTATCCCTAATCGGACCTTGACTATCCAAATGATGGTTGATCCTGTCCCTCTCCAATAACTTGCCTACCACTGATATCAGGTTCACTGGCCTGTAGTTCCCTGGCTTGTCTTTGCTACATTTCTTAAACAATGGAACAACATTAGCCACCCTCCACTCTTCCGGAATTTCACAGTGGCTAAAGATGAAGCAAAAATCTCTGCAACGGCCTCCGCAATTTCTTCCCTTGCCTCCCACAATGTCCGAGGATGGACTTGTTCAGGCCCAGGAGATTTATTCACCTTTTAATGCGCTTTAAGGCTGCAAACACCTCCTCTCTGGTAATGTGTGTGGTCCAAAACATCCCTGCTTGTTTGCCTTAGTTCCTTAGCATCCATGATTCTCTCCTCAGTAAACTCTGAGGAGAAATATTATTAAAAATCTCCCCCATCTCTTGTGGCTCCATAGATGGACGGCCATGTTAATCTTCAAGGGGACCTATCTCTCCCAAACCACACTCTTACTCTTAATATAGCTATAGAACTTCTTGATTATCTTTTTTAACCTTTATCTGCCTGATCCATCTCATATCCTCTTTTTGCGCTTCTGATTTCCCTCTTGAGCATGTTCCTCCATTTTTTTGTAGTCATTTAGGGATTCACTTAGCTTAAACCCAATGTATGCCTCCTTTTTCCTGACCAGAGCCTTAATATTCCTTGTCAGCCAGGGATCCCTAAACCTGCCAGCTTTTCCCTTCACCCTAACATGGACACTGTCTCTATTCTTGATATCACCCTTTTAAAAGCCTCCCATTTGCCAGTCATTCCTTCAAACAGGCTCAGCCAATTGACTGCTGCTAGACAGAGTTGATAGAATCCCTACAGTGCGGAAACAGGCCCTTCGGCCCAACAAGTCCGCACTGACCAACAGAGTATCCCACACAGACCCATTCCCCTATAAACCCACCTAATCTACATGTTCCTGAACACTATGGGCAATTTAGTATGGCCAATTCACCTAGCCTGCGCATCTTGGGACTGTGGGAGGAAACCGCAGCACCCAGAAGAAACCCATGCAGACATGGGGAGAACGTGCCGAAGGTGGAATCGAACCCAGGTCCCTGGTGCTGTGAGGCAGCAGTGCTAAACACTGAGCCACCGTGCCACCCCTCATTTTAGATCCTGTCTAATGGCCGCAAAATTGGCCCTGCTCCAGTTCAGCACCTTAACCTGTGGACCTGTCCTACCTTTTTCCATAACTATGTTAAAACTGAGAGAGTGATGGTCATTGGACACAAAGTGCTCTCTGGCTGACACTTCAATCACTTGCCTGACCTCATTTTCTAAGAGGAGGTCCAGTGTTGTATGCTTCCAATTTGGACCTCTACATATTGAGTTAGGAATCTTTCTTGGACAGAGGGTGTTACCTTGGCTGTGTTCTAGGAGGCAGTCACAACCCTTCTATTAATTACCTCAACTTTGGTCAGTTGTCAGGGACAAGGAGGATGTGCCTATGAGCGTGGCAGGTAGTGCTGAAGGAGCCTCAACCCTTGAGCCTGACTGACAGACTTGAGATTCCTACTCCTTGTGTGGACAAGAGCAGGAACTGTCGGGAAGATGAGCAAGCTGGCCGTAGTACCCTGGTACAGGGCACCATTCAAGACAGGGGAGAAAAGAGAACTGTAGTTGCAATCAAGATAGTACAGTCAGGGGAATGGACACATTCTTTGTGGCCCAGATCAAAAGTCCTAAAGTTTGTGTTGTCTGCTGGTGCCTGGGTTCAGGATATTTAATCTGGGCTGCGGAGGATCTTGGAGTGCAAGGGGAAAAATCCAGTTGTTGTGGTCCATGCAGGTACCAACAATATAGGTAGAAAGAGGAAAGAAGTTCTGCTGAGGAACTCTGAGCAGCTAAGGGCTGAATTGAAAAGCAGAACAAAAAAGTGGTAACCTCCAGATTGTTACCGAGCCATGAGCAAATTGGCACAGAGTCAACCAGATTAAAGAGGTAAATGTATGACCCAAAAATTGATGTGGGAGAAACGCGTTTGAGTTCATGGAATATTGGCACCAGTACTGGGGGAAAAAGGAGCTGTTCTGATGGTTTAGGCTCCACCTGAATCAGATTGGGACCACGGTCTTGGCAAATTGCATAACCAAGGCTCGTAGATCACACTTAATAGTTTGTGGGTGGGGGAGTTTTAAACTAAATAGTTCATGGGGCTAACTATGATGATGAATTTGTAGGGTGTTTGGGCATGTTTCCTTGAGTAGTATGTCATGGAGTCAGCTCGAGAGCAGGCTTTCTTGGACCTGCTAAGAGGTAATGAGACACGTTTAATAAGTGATTTCCGAGTAAAAGTTCCTCTGGGAAGTAGTGATCGTAACATGATAGAAGTTAATATTCAGTTTGAGTGAGAAACTTGGATTGGAAACAGTTATGTTTCACTTAAATGAGGATAGAGTTAGCTGAAGTGAACTGGATGGATAGATTAGCAGAAATGATGGTAAGCAAGCAGTGGCAAACATGTAAGGAAGAATTCATGACTGCCTGCAAAAATACATTCCAGTAAGATAAACCAACCATGGCTAACCAAAACAAGTAAGAGAGTACTAAGTATTAACTAAGGGGGAATATAAAAACTGACAATAGGAGCTTCTTCAAATATATAGAAAGGAAGTCAGAGGTCAAAGTGAGCGCACGCAGTTGAGAAAAATGAATATGGGGAGAATGTTTTAGAACCAGGAAATGAAAGAGGAGTTAAATGGATCTTTTGCATCAGTCTTTATGGTGGAAGATACTGTGAACATACCATTAAATCCTATTGAAAGGTAATTGATCTGAAACGTTAACTATGTTTCTCTCTTCGTGGATACCACTTGATCTGTTCAGTATTTCTAACATTTTTGTTTTTTACTTAAGTGTCCACTTGTAGATTTACAGTGCAATCCAAAGATCTGAATGGTGCACAAGTTGAGAGTCGTGGCAGGACTTTGTATCTCTGATTTCGTCAGTGAGGTGGAGTTGTAATTTACTACCTGTTGTATAACATACTGCATCTAATCAATCAGCTAATACTTCCTAATCTATTTCAGGCATCTGCTGAGTAGTTAAACTTGAAGGAAGCATGGCTCAGTTTCCGACAGCTTTTGGAGGTGAGTCCTTTGCAGGTTATTAAATGTCATTTTAATTGTTACTCTGGGTTTTTTAATGTTAATATTGCCTGATTTCTTTGTTAAGTAATGTTGTTTGATATTCCTTGTTGCACCCAGCTGTCAGGAAGGTCTGTTGCCAGCCTCCATTTGGAGCTTGTTCTTCTTAGTCATATAAGTAGGCAGTGTGCTCAGTTTTTCCCTCCTTCTGGAATAAGTTGTCACTCAAAGCTGTTTGACTGATGAGAACCTTGAAGTTAACTTGTAGTCTTTTGAGGTGGGACAGCTTGCGCGTTCAATACCTGCAATTTAAACAGTCAGCGTGCAGCCCAGTCCTAGAACTACAGTGCATGCTACTGTTGGTCTGAACTGGATGCCAAGGGCTTTGAAAATGTGGGTCGGGATAATTCTTTTCATGTTCCTTGCAATAGGAAGTAATAGCCTCTGGTTAGTGCTTACTCGCAGTGAAACCATTGAGCTGGTATCTTATCAGTATAGAGATTGTTAATCCTTTATTGTGTAGCAACTTTGGTGTTACAGTATATTGTACTGTTGAAGCTTATTAAACTAGTCTTAGCGTGACATTTGATCACACAGCAACTGCAACTTCAGTATTTTTAAAAATTGTTCAGAAAATGTGGATGCTACTGACTGGGCCAGCATTTAATGTTCATCCCTCATTCACCTTGAGAAAGTGGTGATGAGCTGCCTGTCTGAACTGCTGCAGTTTATGTGATGTAGTGATACCCAGAGTTCTGTCAGCATAGCATTCACGAACTTGGTCTTTGAAATAGTTCCAAGTCAGGATGGCACGTGGCTTTGTGGAGAGTTTGCAGCTGTTGATGGTGTTTCCGTGCATCTTTCGCCCATGTTCTAGGGTGTAGCTTGTGGGGTTTTTTATTTGCTCATAGGACGTGGATGTCATTGGCAGCATATATTCATGTTCCTAGTTAGGTTTAAACTGAGTGGTTTGCGAGGCCATTTCAGAGGGCAGTTAAGAGTCCACCACAATGCTGTATGTCTGGAGTCACAAGTAGGTCAGGTCAGGTGACGACAGCAGATTTCCTTCCCTGAAGGACCTTCGTGAGCTAGATGGGCTTTTCTGACAATTGGCAATGGTTTCATGATCATCAGTAGATTGTTAATTCCAGAGTGCTTTTTAATTGAATTCACATTCCACCATCTGCCATGGTGGGATTTGAACCTAGGTCCCAGAACATGAGTTGGATTCTGGATTAATAATCTAGCAATTAATACTACTAGGCCATGATCTTGTTTTTGGAAGACCTTAATGGAGGAGCCTTGGTGAGTTGCTGTAGTGTATCATACAGATGGTCTGCACACCAATGCTGTGTGTCTAAAGGTTTGACCGTAACAAAATGACCCAAGATGCCTGTCAGGAGCATTGTGAAATGAAGTGTGGCAATCACATAAGGAGATATTAGATCAGATGACCATATGTATGAATTGGGAGCAGAAATTGCTTAGTTGGACATTGAGCCTGTTATGCCATTCAATAAGATCACAGCTGATTTGTTGTGTTCTGAATTCCACATTCCACATTCCACATTCCCATCAACCTCCTTTGATTCCCCTGCTTAACAAGACTATTAATCACCTTTTGTCTTAAAAATATTCAACAACCTGATCTCTAGCACTTTGAGGCAATGTTCCAAGGTTGCACAAAACATAGCAAAATTTCCCCACATTTCTGTCCTCGGAGGGAGACTCCTCATTTTTAAATAGCACCCCCGAGATATGGGATTGCACGTGAGGATTTTTCAGGATCTTGTTAAATTCAACCAAGTTGCCCCTTAATCAACTAAACTCAAGTGGAAGTAAGCCAAGTCTATCCAACACTTCCTCATAAGACCAGCTTATTCCAGATATCAGTACAGTAAACCTTGTCACTGCTGCCTGACAGTGCCAGGGATCCAGGTTTGATTCCAGTCTTGGGAGACTGTGCAAACTCCACACAGACAATCTTCCGGTGTCTGCGTGGGTTTCCTCCCATAGTTCAAAGATATGCAAGTGAGGTAGATTGGCTATGCTAAATTGCCCATAGTGTCTAGGCTGCAAAATGCAGGGGTGGGATTGGGGGTGAGTCTAGATGAGATGCTCTTCAGAAGGTCGGTGTGGACTCGATGGGCCAAATGTTTCCACACTGTAGGGATTCTATAATTCCAACTGCCTCCAGTGCATGTACGGCTTTTTGTTAATAAGGAAACCAAAAGCTGCATGCAGTGTTTGAGATGTGGTCTCACCGATGACTTGTATAACTGATGCAGAATATCCTCACTTTTATGTTCGATTGCACTCTTCATAAAGGATGGCATTCCATGAGCCTTAATTTAACTTTGTCTCATGTATTTGAACGCTTAGATCCCTCTTCACCAGGAAATTCCAGTCAGTCTTCATTTCAGTAATGCTTTTTTTTGTTCTTCCTTTCAAAGTGAACAACTTCACAATTTTCCACATTGTACTCCATCTGCCTGTTATTTGCCAGCGCATTGAACCTATGTATAACCGCATTCTCCTTGTGTGATCTTCACAATGACTTTGCCACCTATCTTTGTGTCATCTGCAAATTTAGCTTCCATGCCTTGGCTCCCCTCATCTAAATTATTCATGTAAATTGTGGAAACCTGAGGCCTCAGGACAGACCCCTGCTGGACTGGTCACATTCTGTCAATAAATAAAAGACTCATTTCTGCATCCTGTATTCTGCCAGCTGGCCAATCTTTGATCTCTGTGAATATGTATCCCCAAAACATGAATTTCTACTTCAAACAAATTCTGTGGGATTTTGTCAAATGCTTTCTGGAAATTCAAGTACAGTAAGACCCCGCAGACTCTTCAACCAGTGTACAAAATATTAATTTACCCAGGCACCTTAGCATATACTGGGGAAGGACTACATAGCACGAGTTTGCAATCACTGAACCTGCAACTTTATTTGAAGACAATGAAGGTTAAGAGTTACACTTTACACTTTCTTAACAACTGTATTTCTAACTATCTGAATCTTTAGAAACTTAAAATACTTCCCAGATACTCATAACATTTGCTGGTCTGTTGAATTGTTCAGCCTGTTCCTCTCTTCATGGACTAATTCTCTCTGGTGGTTGGAGGACGAGCTGCTCTGGTCACTGCTGAATCCTGACATAACTCTAGGTAGGCTGGGGAGTGGAGTACCCTGGGTCCTGCGGTGTTGTTCTTGTACCCACCTGGCTACCTTCTGGAACTTTACAAGGACTTGACCAATCAGAGGTATCAAATTAATTGGCTTTATCACCTTGAAACACTGCTAATGGGTTTCAATGGCTTGCTTAACAGCGACCCCTTCGATGTGTCTGCTTGTGGGCCTGGGTGTCTGGTTTCATCCCAGAATATACACCTGTTCTTTGTCTTACTGAGGCATATCTGCCCCATGCATCTAGTATTGTTTGTCAGGAAGGGTTGAATTGCCTTCTCACACTTTCTAATGTGTTCTGGTGCCTCTGGGGTTTCAATTATCCAGGCTTGGATCTTGCAAAGACTTGTCCATGGGCAGAATTGTTTCTTGCGTATGTCTTGGCTCAGGCATTCCCAGCATGCCTTGCTTTTTAGCCAATTTTGATGTCCTGTTTATTTCAGTTGTTCTGCCTATATTTCTGGCCTCCCTCCTTAATGATTTTTATTTCACTTGAACACTCGCAGGCTGATACATGGGACTTTTCCAGAAATCAGGTTATTTTAAAAAATGACCAATATATCTGTCACATCTTTGAAGACCCTAGGATGAGGTTCATTTGGACCCAGAGACTTGTTAGCCTGTAGCTTCAGTAGTTTACTCAGTAGCACTTGCAAATGGATTGTAATTTGCCATCTTCGTCTCTCCCTTCCACCATCTGATTTACAGGTGTAGCTAGGATGTTTTCTCTATCTTCGTAGTGAAGACAGAAGCAACGTATTTGTTTAACTCACCTGCAATTTCCTCCTTCAAGGAAAAGAGCAAGTAGAAATTCTTGCTGTCTATTTGTCAATTATTCGTCTTCCTCACTCTTAATGTTTCTCCAGATTAATTTTTTCTGTCATTCTCTAACATTTTTTTGTTCTGACCAATCATCTCACCTGCTACTCATCTTTGTGCAATTAATGCTTCTTCAAAAAGTTTGATCTTTTCTTTAAATTCACTTCACCACAGATGGTGGATCTTTCCCTTTGGAGTTTTCTATATTGTAGGAATATACTCAAAGTATTCTGAAATGTCCCGTTAGATGGCTACCGCTGCTTCTGTATTGATATCTCCCTGTGTCTGGTATCCCAGTTCCCTTCAATTAGCTCAGTTTTCATGCCATATATTGCCCCTTTATTTTAGTTTAAAGCACTAGTCTTTATCCCACTCTTCTCCCTTTGACACTGGATATATGATTCAATTATATTGTCTTCACTCCATCTCGTGGTGCCTTTACTCAGAGGTCGTGAATTAATCCTGCCGTGTTCAACAATACCAAGTCAAGTATAAACTGCTTTTCGGACACTTCCAAAATGTATTGCTCTAAGAAACATTCTCGAACACCGAATTCTTCACCACTGCTAATCCAGTTATTCTTGTTACTACACTTGGAGGGCCTGTAGACCACACCACCTAGTGTTGCCTTGCCCTGCTATTTCTTATCTCTGCCTAACCCGTTTGTGCATCCTGACCATCTGAACCAAGATTATTTGTAAATAATGCACGAAAACTATAACTTGATTAACAATGTTTACCCCTTCACCAAAATGTAGCTTCGTGTTTTTCATAATGGTCACATTCTCATACAACATAGAGCAGTACAGCAGAGGAACGGGGCCTTTACCTACCATCTCTGTGCCAACCATTCCAAAGTAATCCCAATTGCCTGCATGTCCATATCCCCCTCTTCCCTGCCTGTACATGTGTGTGCCTAACTGCCGCTTAAACATGGCTATCATATCTCCTTCTACCACCTCCCATGTCAGTGTGTTCCAAGCACCTACCA